GGATATCGTGATGTCCTACACTATAGGGTGGTGGCCTTTTCTTTGACCCTCACGAGTTCAATCAGAGGGTGAGAACCTGTTCACACTGCTGTCAATGACAGCACTGCTGTCAGCAGAGACATTATCATTACCTCTACTCCTGCCAAAGCCTAGCCGGGGGGGAGTCCAGTGAGAAGAGCTGCCCCACACAGCCAGGGTGGACATGGTCATGTTCCCCTGAAGGGACATGGGAAATGAGAGGAAAATAGGACAGAAATCTGATCTGAGGTAGTCTGCCCTTGAGATGAAAGGTCTTATCCAGTGGTGGCTTCAACAGGACTGGCAATTTCCGCATGTCAGTGATTTCTACAAGCAGAAATAAAGAGTAACATGCACATAAAGAAATCCAGAAGAGACTGTTTAATGTGCTCCTGTTGGATTAAATAATTTGTTGTAAGCAAAGGCGGCCCTGTTCTTGTTGCCTGTATGCTGCAGTGAGCCAGCCAACACCACTGGAAATTTGGATTAGCAGGAATCAGTATGTTTCTCATCCACTTTTACTTTTATTCAAATTGCATTTCATTCTGTTACAATCCCTTTCTCAAGGTCAGGATTTGGATAGAAAAATTATTGGGCTGTTAAAGAGTGAGATTTCTTTTTTTGAGGGAAGGAAATAAATAGAAGTGCAGCAGAGGGTTAATTTTAGGTGCCAGTCCTGCCACTGGCTGCCTTAGAATAAATCTCTGTGGCTCCTTGGCTGGCTGAGGGTGCCTGACTGATTCCTGCACCATAACTCTTGCATAGTAAGGTGAAAAATAAATAAAAGTATGGGGAGGAATTGGTGGTTTGGGTCAGATCCACCCCTGAGTCCCCGGGAGCTGGACTGCTGGGGGTGAAGCTATGGAGGCACCTGCAGGGCAAGCTTGGCTGGAGCAGCCCGGAGAAGGACTCTTACCTGCAGGTGCAGAGTTGGTATGAGATTATTGTTTGCACTCTTTTCCCAGCTTAGTTTTGCATTGTTAGGTGAGAAGCTGATAATAAAGGCTTGAGAAAATATTGCCAGGGCAAAAAGTCCCATCAGATTGGAGGTCTCGAAACCTGCTGTTGCCATGGGTCCGAACAAAGACCCATGCTCGTGGCTTATGTGCACAACAGTGAACCAGAACAGCTGCTGAATCAACTGTTCCCCTGACAAATTACCCTGCTGCTCAAAGCTGGAGGTCACAAGGAAAAAGGAAATTGGAGCTGAGACTTTGGGAACAATGAGCTAGATCCTTGGCTGATACGGCCCCCTTCAGCTGAGGCAGAGGGGTTATGCTCCTTTGGACCTGGGGAGGAGGCTGGGGAGGGAGGTCTGAAGGCCAGAGGTTGTGGTGTGGAAGGAAACCTGGAGAAGGGTGGATATCATAGTGGGAGGAGGCAGAAGAGATACTGCAGATGGGGCTGTGCCAAAGGGGCATTACCTCCCCAGCAGGTAAGTGTGCTGGGCTGAACGGCAGCCACCGATCAATCCCTGATCCTCGAGATTAAAGCAAAGTGAATGCTCACAGCTGGGCTAAAGAGCTAAGCTTTCCTTGTATAAAAGTAGGAAAGCTACCACATTTAGAAACAAAATCAGAACTGAGAATCCATTTACTGGACACCGGTCAAAATCAGTGTATTTCTGTTGAAGGTCAGCTGTGTTCCAGGTTGTGTGGTGTACCTGTCATAAAACTGCTATCATGCTCATCAGACTGGTACTGAATTAAGCATTTTTTAGAGCAAGTAGTCTCACATTAAGGTGTCACATTTTGTTTTGCTTGGCTCCTGATCTTGGAAGGTTGGTGGCCCCTGGTCCATTGTGTGGATTTTGTGGCCTGAGCAGAGGAATTATTTTGGTGAGCCTGAGTGTGCCTCTGAAAATAATACACTGCAGCCCAGCCAGAAGCTCTGGGCCTGCCTGGAGAAAGTATTGCGTTAGGGTCTTTGGCCTTTCTTCTGCTGAATCAGATCAGATGGTCACAATGTTCACTTCTGGATTTAGCATCCATGCATTTTCCATCAATATTTATGTACACCTTCCCTTTCCTTTGATCTGAAGGACATTTGTGGGCGTAGTTGAAAGCTGTCTGGAGAAACACCTTGCAAGCCCTGCCCTAGAACTACCAACAGTTAAGTACTTTGCTTGGCTATTTCAGCATGGCATGGGCCTTTGCTTCTTGTCATTTGAAGGTGGTTGACCAGGACCACTTCTCTGCCCGAACGTGTCCATGAAGCCAGCAGTGGGGACAACTCCTGTCGCAGGGAACAGCCTCCTGCCCACCCCACCGCTGAAACGCAGCCTGACCTTTCGCAGCTTCCTCTGCCAAGCAATCACATTTGTGCTGGTCCCTTGAGCAATTTCTTGAGAAAGGCATCATGGAGGTTTCACATGCATCGCTGATGGCTCCAGCTCGATAAGGAGATTAGGGAGTGAGTTTGGCATAGTGATAACAACGTGTAAAAATGAAACAGGATGCCATAGAAATATTATATAAGATAATTCCAGTTATCGGCTGTAAAGAATGTTCTGCTTGCTTCTGATTGCTCATATCTTCTATTTTTATCAGTTTCCTTCTGCTTGTCTTTGTGCACGTTTCCCGGTGTAGCAGGTCTGACCCAACCAACTGCAAATAAAGATAACACTGATAACTATAAAGTGAGGAGGGGAGGGGACTCACTTCAGACTTGCACACTTGGGCTGCCTTTGACTGTAAAGTATTTTCCAGATGGACAACTATTAAGTAGTAAGGGGTTTGATCTCTCATACCTGCAGTCCTAAGGAGTTCTGCTGGGTATAATGAAAAGCCAGCTGCTGCAGATGCAAGTTCTCCATGAGATGGGAAATGCAAACCAAGGCCTGAAGCTCTCAAGGCTGGTGAGAGGGGATGGAAGATTTTGCAGTCAAGGCAAAGGATGAGCTCTCAGTCTGGGCTTCCTATGGGAAGGTAGTGCATATCAGGCTGCAGAGAGGCTACAGAGCAGCACAGACTTGCTTCCCTGGGCTCTGTGCAACCCAGATGTAAAACACTCCTAGCCACTGCTTAGGACATATCGATCTCAACCTCAGCACTGTCCCCATGCCTTCATACATATAGAGCTGGCATCTGGCTGTCTTAAAGCTGAGCTTGGGCCACCCATACACCCTCTGTATCCTATGTATCCTCACATAAATATAATCCCATTCAGGCAAATGACTCTGTGCTTCCAGAGAAGGGTAGATGTGCCCTGCTGTCCACTGCACCCTGCTTCATGTGTGACTGGGGAAGTCTTCTCCAGTAGAGGCATGTTCCTGCAACAACTCTGTAGGCATAGCCCAAGAAGACATACTTTAGGTTTGGGAAGCTGCAGCAGTCACAGAATTGCCCAGAGTCTGGTCAATCCAGGCGGGTTTCCAGGGCAGGCAGGAAAGGGGAGAAGACGGAGAACTCATCTGCCCGTGAGTCAGTGGCCACATAACCTAGTGAAAAACTTCCCTGGATCTTCTTCCCCTGAGGCGTGAGGACTGACTTTCCCCTTGGAGAAGTACTGCAAAATCTTGTCCACAGTTGTGCTGTACTGGTTATTTATAAATATTTTATTTGTGTGGCTTTGTACCACACAACTTCCAGGTCAGTCTGCAACTGTACAAAACAGAACCTCCCAAAATATATACAGAAGAGAACCTGCTATATTGGGCTTTGATTTTGCTTGAGACCTTTGTGCTTTACCACCACATTGCTGTAAACAATGTAGGGCTTCAATTCAAAATGCTATTTCTGTATAATGCTGGCATTTCTATATAATGTGATTTCTATTATAAAAACCACAAGTAGCTAGAGAGCAATACCTGTGCCTGGAGGTAAGCTCATTAGGCCAACTAGCAGCCAGGCTACCGACTAGAATAAGCCACAGCTGATGAAGCCAGAGACTTTAGCTATTGAGGACCAGAGAAAAATAAACCCCTGACAATCTCCTTGGCTATTTTATGTCTCCTGACCAAAAGACTTTTAAGGTTCTGGCCAAAAAAAGTGCAACACTTGACTCATGAGTTTCAGATTCTTCAGTCTCCCCAACAGGCAGGAAATCAGAAAACGTGAGCTCCATGTGAAGGTAATTATATGACAGCCTTTTTGTTGTCCTTTGGTCTATGGCAAAGATGATGAGTGAGTGAACTAATCACACATTTCTAGGCACTCCTTGGCCAGTGAATGCTCTTTCTCCCATTACCTGAAGTCAGAGGTGGGTCCCATGTCAGCCATCCTGCATGAGTCAGGGGTAATGACAGAGGAAGCAGGAGCTGTGTTTACAAGCCCTGGAGGATGCTCGGCGCTGCAGGCTGCAGCTTGGCTCACACTTCTCACTTCCAAAAGTGTCATTACATAATCCAGAGCTATATAGAAAGGAATTTCAGAGCCTTTTTCAAGGAGTACACACAAAGAGACCTGGCTGACCCGAACTTTTAAGTTTTCATGATATGTACTCCCGGCTGTCTTGTGATCAGAATCATCCTTTCTAGCCTTAAAAATATCTCATCAACAGAGCATCCCATGAGGGCTAGCTATCCTTCCAATGCTTTGTGCAGGGCCACTGGGCTCCATGTGGGCACAAGACCTTCCTCCCTCGCTATTTCTCCCCTTTTGCCAGACCCTGTATTGTTTCTGGGAAGAGGTGCAACAAAACCCAAGCCCTCCTGGGGCAGGTGCTGCTGGGGCTGCAGTGGAAGGCTGGGTACAACGTGTGCCCGAAGGCTGAAGCTGGGACGGCTGCACCGAACACCAGAGCCAATCTTGCCCTGGGTATTGCAAACCCTGGAAGTTTATTTGAGGTGAGGAATTTGTTCCTGACATTTTGATATTTCTCCAGATCTAGGTGTAGCAAGAGATATCCCATCACCCAGGCCTGGCCCTGGTTAATAGGGTGTAGAAAGGGGACGGGTGAGTGGGTGCCCATCAGGTAGGATCAGCACTCTTTCTGCAAGCTCATGAAACAGCTTAGGAGAAAAAAACATCTGAGGCCACGAGCACAGTTTGTAATTCATATTTTATTGCTTTGTACAAGTGAAAAAACAGGGAAAAAAGACCTGCAAGACTGAAAGGTAATGTGAAAGGCCACAATGGGAGTCTACAACGGCCACTGAAGTGTGATTTGTAGCCTGGTGGCACAGGAAACCGTTACAACTAAAGCACAGTGGTTTCCCTCTTTTTTAAAGAAATAAAATGGCAGAGCTAAAAAAAAGAAGTAGGAGCCGCCTAACACTGACAATCACCCTCATCACAAAGAACTACATTGAGGCTATTAAAATCAAGCGAGCAGCAAGTGCCTAGACCCAAAATACCTGAAAAAAACTTGGGATGGAGGGAGGAGCTGAAGAAGACAGCCTTTTTGACAAGCTCAATGTTTGAAGGTTTTAATGTAATTACAGGTCATTTTTGATGCAAGTTTAAACATTATCAGCAATGCTGCAGAGGCTTGCCTCTGGAGAACCAGCAAGCAAGAGTACTTGCACTCTCACAGCAGGCGGGAAATGCAAGTAATAAACAGACTGAGCGGTGAGATCCCAGCAGAGCAGTGCCCAGGCTGAGAAATCAACATTTTTCCAAAGGCTGGCTTTGGTTTACATTCCTCTAGAGGAAAAAGTGACTCAGATAATTAAGCTGATGGAGACTTTTTCCGAGCTGTTCAAGACACTGAAAACATGTATCTTCTCCACAGGCTAATGGTGGACACCATATAAATATCTTCAAAAAAAAAAAACAACCCTGCATTTTTAATTGTCGTAAGTATTATGGGAATACAAACATGGCTAGATTATTACTTTAATGAAAGTGCAGTGTTAAAGAAGTACCTATGTATGGAAAGGGGATGTGCTGTGACTTGTATTGCTTGCCCCTCCAAATATGTGGGTAGCTCTCTGCCCCTGCTCTGCCCTCGCCTTGCCTTTGAAGCCACTGCTCTGCACGACTGTCTCTCAAGCCTTTCCCGCTTCTCTTCCCTCTCCAGTAGCTAAAAGTGGGATGTGCATCTGCAAAGCAGAAATAAGAAAAAACACCTCCCTTCCAGCCCATTGCTTCTTTGATCCCAAACAAGAAAACTGGCTTCAAGCTGGCGAGGTTGCTATTCTGAGTAACGCAACATCCAGGGGAGCCATACTTCTCCCTTTTAACAGAGACAGCTGGTAGCTTCTGCCGTAGAGGCTGAGCCTGGATGCCACCTTCCCCCTGCAGCTCAGCAGACACAGCCCACCAAAGGAGACGGTAAGGAGGACAAGGGCAGGAAAACCTTGTTGGCACCCACTTTTGTGTTGGGTACTGCGATAGATAAAGAGTTGTACCGAAGGAGGCTGCTCTGGGAAGCTGGAGGCACTGCTCACAGGATTTAAGTTAAGCACAGATGTGTTGTGTGCTGTATCAGTGATTAAATGCCAGACACTTTGTGGAACTGCTTTTCATAAAGTGGCAATTCACTTTCCAACCAAGGGCTAGCACTTAGGTCAGTAAGTGCAACAATTAAATGTGACTGAAACTCTTGAAACATTACTCACTTGCATAGACTGTGTTGCTGCTGGTTCTTTGTACAAGGTTGGATATTGCTGCCAGGATCAAACCCCATCCAGGAAAAGGAATACCAAAAGCAGCCAGCAAGACTGGTCTGGGTTACCTGCTAGCAATTAGGGAGAGCCACTAAAAGATTTTCCTCCAAAGTCTGCATTTTTCCACGGAAGTGGTTTTCAGCAAAAAATGGATATCTTTTTCTAAAATTTTATCTCAAAGAGGTGCATGATTCTGGAAGAAATAGGTCATCCACAGCGTTGTACAATTTGTAGAATTATTATTCTATGCTGGACAAAAATGCAAAGGAAATATTTCACCTACTTTTTCTTAGAAGAAAGTGGCCTTACTTGAAAATGATTGCCTAAACCATACACGGCTGTTAACGCCTCTAGCCTGTGTATGATACAATTTGGTTTTAATTACATGGACTACTGCAAGCGTTCACACTGGCAACACCAACAATTTCTTTTTTCGCTAGGTGAAGCTGATAAGTCCATGATACTCCCACAGTGTGTCCTCCTCCTTGACCTTACAGTGACTGCAACAAGGTACTAGTGGCCAGGCACTTCTGCAGCACCGGGGCCACCACAGACCCATCAGCTTCACCCTCAATTCACAGTTATTCAGCCTGACCGAGGCCATCGCCTGTGGCTCTAGAGATGGGCAAGCAGCTAGCCTGGTTCATACCAGGGATGGCTCAGGCTGTCCCTGTGCAAAGTGCAATCCTTTCTCCTCTTTTCCTAGGAAGACTTGGCCTCGGGAATCTGCGTGCTTGGCTGCTCCACAGCCAGCTGGTTTTCAAAGACACAGCACAGCTTGTAATTTTCTATGAGCTTGGCTTGAAAATACTCCCTGTCCTTCTTGTGCCAAACGTCTGTGGCAATGTAGGTGTTGTAGGGGTCGCGGGAGCCCTCCAGCCTCTTGGAGCGGATGTTGCTCAGCATGACCCCCACTGTGAAGAAGCCAAAGAGGCCGATCAGCAGCAGCACATAGATGATTTCCAGATTGCTGCTGGCGCTTTTGACCTGGGAAGGTGCAGAGCTATTCTTCTGCTGTAGGTAGTCTTGCAGCAGCTTGGAGAGGAGTGAATTCAGGGCCGTGTCGTTAGACAGCACCAACATCTTGTTCTTCTGTCCGCCGCACTTCTTTCTTCCTTCCTTATTTGTAGTTTTTCTAGAAAAGCATGAAAATGGGGGACATGCTAGACAAATCGTCAAATAAAGATGCAAGTCTCTCTGTCTCCCTTTACTGGTTCCCCTCCTCAGTGAGGAAGCTATCTTGGAGCAGAGGCAGGGCAGCCAGACCAGCCTGGAGGGACCTCTTCACCTCCTGTTTCCAAGCCAGGCCAGTTAGGCTGAGTCCGTCCCCCACAAACACTTGCCTTGCAGACCCTCCTCAGTCCTCACAGACAGTCTGTCACAGTCTGCAGCTGCCCCAGCTGTTGGTCACTCACACGGACACCTCACCCAGGCCTCCCATGCTGCTATTTAAAGCCCATGACTTCTCCCTTGAGCCCCCCAGAGGCATGAAGAGTGTCTCACTCCCACACTGCGGCAACTGCTTTGAAGATTGTTATCATGGCTTCTCTTGGTCCTCCCTCCTCCACTTCCAGCTTAAGGACTGAATTTGGAAACAAAGCTTCTCTACCTGAAGCAGTACCTGCAGCAAGCTCCTCCTGTCCACCCCTGTTGCGGTGCCTTGCCTTTCTTCTGTGATATACACCATGGAAAAACAAGCAACCAAACGTCTGATAGAAATGTGTCCAGCACTAATTTAATGCAACTTCCCAATGGGCATTTGCCCAAGGAGTAGACACAGGGGGAGTCTATAGTAACTGCCTACCCAGCAGTGGGAAGGAAAAGCATCTCCCTTCATCCCTCCCCCTACAGACTGGCAGTTGTCCCCCAGGTAGTGCCCTGCTTTCTCCTCCAAACTCAATTGCTGTGCTGTCCAGTTAGGAGGACTTCCACTGGCATCGCTGCAGGTCAGGAATAGGGCAGGAGATGGTAACACCAAGAAGCACCTGAACATCCAAAGCCTCCTAGATGTGGCACTCTGCATTGACTGTCTCACACAAGAAGCTGAAGGGTCCTTTTTCCCTTTCCAATGTCAGCTGTACATCACTTAATAAGAGCAATCTTATCAGCACTGCAGTCCCAAAGCCTCAGCAGCCAGGTAACACGACTGACAATCTCACTACAATGCCTAATTTAAATGTCTCTAGAAAATTAAGACAACAGTTTCCCTCTGTTTTGGCCCCTAGCACATCTGAATGAGGTACTGTTATTCAAGGTGACTTCTGTGACAGCAATCTTGTAATCATCTAAGATGGCTGTCAGTGCTTTCTGCAGTTTTAAATCTGTGAGAGCAAGCCAGCATGCTAGCAAAATCTTCCCCTCTGTTTTGGCCCCTAGCACATCTGAATGAGGTACTGTTATTCAAGGTGACTTCTGTGACAGCAATCTTGTAATCATCTAAGATGGCTGTCAGTGCTTTCTGCAGTTTTAAATCTGTGAGAGCAAGCCAGCATGTTAGCGAAAGCTTCTCCAGCATACTTACCTTTTGTTGGTTGGGTTTTTTGGGGGTTTTTTTGTTGTTTTTTAAGAGGTACTATATTGTAACAATTTATAATACATCAAGAAGAAAACGAACCCTTGGGCAGAAAACCACCAAATGGCCTAGGCAGCAATTATACCCCTTTGTGAGGGCACCATTAATGATGCATAGATGCTGTGCAGGACCTCTGAACGGGAGGGAGTTTAGCTGCACACACAGCCTCCAGCTGCCCGTAATGACACTGCAGTAGATGAGATGTATCCGGAGGCTTCTTTGAATCGTCTGCACCCCTTTATGGCATAAATGCTGTAAAAGGAGATGCTGAGACAGGGGTAGCAAGAGGAGGGGACACTGATCTTACGACCTGCTGTCCCTCATAGGAAGAGCAGTTCCTCACCCAGCGTGGTCTGCCCTAGCAGGCGCCCTTGCAGCTGAATAAAGCACACAATTCACACAGACATGAATACCATCAAACACACTCGTGTGAATTAAATGCTACTGCAATTGCCATGTGCTGATTTTCAGTCCAAACCCTTTTGCCAGACCACCCAGCTGTGCAGTCATGGACTTGGAGCCAGGTCTCACTGAGTAAGTCAGACACTCAGCTTGCCAGACCACCCAGCTGTGCAGTCATGGATTTGGAGCCAGGTCTCTCTAAGTCAGACGCTCAAACCAGGGTGCTAAATTCCATGGAGAAAGCCCTGTTCTCCACCCCATGCATTCCTGGGGGACAGGAGCAGCACCAGCCCACACCAGATGATGCCACACTTCTTCCCCTGGTGAGCGGGTGACCACTGGGAGCCCAGGTCAGGCTCCGTGTGGGCTCAGAATCACCCTCCTCCAAGCAAGCAGTTCCTGCCATCAGGTGCCTTGGGTGACCACTGGGAGCCCAGGTCAGGCTCCTGTGGGCTCAGACTCATCCTCCTCCAAGCGAGCAGTTCCTGCCATCAGGTGCCTCGCCAGCAGGAAAAATGAGCACCCATGAGAGTATGCCTTGGTATTTTGGCTTTAAATAGAGCTGAGCCTGGGGGTGGCAGAGGGAGACAAAAATCCCCTGTACAAAACAATATTCCGATCCAATTTATTTCTTCAGTTGCATGAGTCAAAGCTACAGGAAATAACATCTTGGCAGTTTGGGCTTAATAGTTAAAATCTATTCACATTTCACCCCAGGGTGCTAAATTCCATGGAGAAAGCCCTGTTCTCCACCCCATGCATTCCTGGGGGACAGGAGCAGCACCAGCCCACACCAGATGATGCCACACTCCTTCCCCTGGTGAGCGGGTGACCACTGGGAGCCCAGGTCAGGCTCCGTGTGGGCTCAGAATCACCCTCCTCCAAGCAAGCAGTTCCTGCCATCAGGTGCCTTGCCAGCAGGAAAAATGAGCACCCATGAGAGTATGCCTTGGTATTTTGGCTTTAAATAGAGCTGAGCCTGGGGGTGGCAGAGGGAGACAAAAATCCCCTGTACAAAACAATATTCTGATCCAATTTATTTCTTCAGTTGCATGAGTCAAAGCTACAGGAAATAACATCTTGGCAGTTTGGGCTTAATAGTTAAAATCTATTCACATTTCACAGCTGTGTTCAGATCCTTTAAGAAGGAAAGGAAGAGAAAAAGAAGTTTAAACCTTTATCTGAGATTACTCCTCCTAAGCGTGTAGAACATGTCAACACTGTAAAATGTAAAACTGCTAACAAATCATTGCAGTAACTTTAAAGACGGAACAAAGAATTTCACTGGATCTCTCAACTTTTTCAAGACAGACAGGCAATCATTTCTCATAATAATTATCGGTGTCACTGACAACACTTCTGGTGCTGATGAATTGACATTTTGAGGCTCAGTATCCTCAGTTACCTTCCTGTATTCTTTTGGGACGTTTCTGAGGGCTGCAAGGTTTTGTCCTCTCCTGGGTTGCCTGCACGCTGGCTGGGCTGGAAGCCGGCAGGGAGCCAAGTTGCCTGGTGTCTGTAACCACATCAGATGGCAATAACAAGAGAGGTTAAGGGAAGGAGAGGTAACACTCCTGTTCTCCAGGAAATCTCCCTCTGAAATCTCAGCAAGCCAGAGATTTAGGCCTCATCTGCCACCACACAAGCCCTGTGCCACTCTACTGAAATCCATACTGGGACCAGTTTAGAGCTGGAGTACACAGGACTCTTGAAGAAGAGGGCTGAAGGGCCTCTATCAAGACTGCATTTTAGCAGCTAACAGGATGAATTAGAGAAGAAAACTTTAAGCCACCAAGGCCTCTTAGTTTAAAAAGACTGCATGTGATAGAGGGCTGTGACAGCCAGGCTCAGGGAAGATCCAGTTACTCCTGGAGCTATGAAATAGGATACACTGTGGTACTGGAGGATGGAGACATATAGGCAAGTGTGGATGGGCTCCATATGGGGACATATAGGCAAGTGTGGATAGGCTCCATGAGCGTGGCTGGGGCCATATCTCTCCAGTACGACTATGCAATGACAGATCTACTCCTAATCTTAAGCTCTTGAACATCCAAATGCTTTCAGCTATAGAGTGCTAGAGCTCCAAAATGCAAGTCCCTGAGAACGCTTGTGTGATGTAGAGTCTGATCCCTGTTGGGTCTGAAGAGAGGCCAAACTGGGCCACTGGAGAGCACTCTGTGCCTGTCTGGGTGCTGAGGCAGTCACACTGCTGCCGGGGAGGTAGGACTGTGATGGGGATACTGCTACAGAGCTGTACATTGACATTTGAGTTCAAATAGCACAATCGGCAGCTGCAGAGCATCTGGCATTTAATATTACTTCTGTCTACTTTATAAATGTCAGAACTGACATACACCTGGCTGGTTCCTAACAGAGGCAAAGCAGAAGGGGTCTGTCTGCTCAAAGGCAGGCTGCAGCTGCTCTGTGAGCACGGATGCTGCTGCCAGCGGAGTGTGCCCAACCCAGCTGGAGCCACTAGCTCCAGCACAGTCCTTTCTGCCCCTGGATGAGTTGGGCTTATTTCCAACAGCTGGGCTTCAGTGAAACACGCTCTGTGAGTCACTGTTGGGTGGCAGTCAACTGCTGGGGAAAGGGGAAGGGAAGGGAAGGGAAGGGAAGGGAAGGGAAGGGAAGGGAAGGGAGAGAAGCAGTTTTCTGCCATGTAATGTACTGTCCTGGTTTTGGCTGAGAGAGAGTTAATTTTCTTCCCAGTAGCTGCTTTAGTGCTGCGTTTTGGATTTAGGATGAGAACAATGTTGATAACACACTGATGTTTTAGTTGTTGCTGAGCAGTGCTTATACTATGTCAAGGACTTCTCAGCTGTGTCAGTGAGTCACACTGCCCTGCCAGAGAGGAGGCTGGGGGTGCACAAGAAGTTGGGAGAGGACCCAGCCAGGACAGCTGACCTCAACTGGCCAAAGGGATATTCCATACCATATGACTTTATGCTGAACAATAAAATCTGGGGGAGTTGCCTTGGCGGGGGGAGTTGCTGTTCAGGGACTGGCTGGGCATCGGTCAGTGGGAGGCAAGCAATTACATTGTGCATCACTTGTTTTGCATATTCTTTTATCATTATTATTATTTTCCCTTTCCTTTCTGTCCTATTAAACTGTCTTTATCTCACCTCCCAAGTTTTACTTTTTTTTCTGATTCT